TAACTTTTGTGGGGTTTCCATGGATTTTGAGGGTACTTTCGGGGTACTGCTAAAATGTATGTTCTCTGGGTCTGGAGATAATGGAGTTAATACAGTTCATGACTCAATTATCTCCCAGGCACAGGGGAGGGATTATCTTATTCTGTATGGGAGTGTCCTGGACCTGAGAGCCAATGTACCTGTGTATTTGTTTCTACTGTAGTCTACTCTCAGGTCCAGAGGGGAGTGCCTCTTGTATGGGGATTCACATAAAAGGCCACGTGTGGCTCCATTAAAACCAGTTATCTCACAGCATAGAGCCTTGTCTCATGTGTGTGGGAGAAAACTACAACAGCTGTCTCTCTTCTGCTTGGAGTGCTAAGTCACTAGCTCTTGTAAGAGCTGTTCTCGCTCTGCATCACAGCATCCCTCCCACTAGGGGGAAAAGAACATCTCTGGCGGCAATAACCCTCTTCCCATTGGGGTGGCCACCACAGTTCTTAGTTAGAAATAGATGAAAACTGAAAAAAAGAGAGTGAGAATAAGTTAAAATAGTAAGTACGGCGTGACATTGAGTGTCCCTCTATGTACGTGTGAAATGTTGGCAGGTATGACTACATACAGGGTGGAGGATGGTTTTGAAAGCCTACAACAAAGTAAGGCCTGTGCCAATACATACTCTTTTGATGTTTATACTCAGAACACATATGATGATGTAGAGATGTCATTTTTCAAAATGAACATCTTGTGATTATTAATTATTTGGCATTTATTTATAGAGAAAGCAATATTTTGTACAAAAAATATTAAAGATGGAATGAACTGTATCACAGTCAGATCCTTACGAGGGTATGAGACTCCGCTACAAAATGCTGCCCATCTTGGCATCCACGGACACACGACAGCCTGAACCAGCAACACAATTCCTGAATTTACAAAAAATGAATAATGTCTTGTGCTTATTATTTTTACAGGGGGATTACCTAACCTGGTAACTGATGGAAACTGACGAGAACATATCAAATTTAAAGCAAAGACTGCCCAAATGGACTCATTTCAAATCAGCTATTTTTTTCAGCTCACTGATTTTGGACCAAAGTCGGCAATTCCCAGTTTAGTGAATGGTCCTGGCAGTGTTTAGGCAATGTTACAGCAAATCATTTACATCCCAGATTGGGAATGTAGTAAATTTATCAGATAAACACGTTTAGAAATAAATAAATCAATATACTGTATATATCGAGTTACACTGTATTTACTGTTCTTTCAATAACCTTTAAATAAATCCCATCGTGTTCACCCCAGCTTGACTTCCTATGATACAGGTTATTTTCGGGTGAACCTATCAAACGTCAGTCTTAGGAGTTCCCCTTCTAACCCCATTCACAATGAACTGTCTTCCTGGCAGGAGTCAACGCTCTAAGCCGAAGGGAAAAGGTTGAACGCCTGTCATCAGCTGGAGGCTTCCAAGGCAGAAAGAGGCTTAGGGAGCCAAAGGCATCAGAGAGAGTTCTGGCATGAAATGGGTCCGACATTAGCCTCTTCCTAATAGACCTGTCATAGAAACCTTATTATCTGTCAGCGCAGCCCCCTGTCCTCCCTGCTACCAAATAATCCCCAGCGAGAGCAATTCTTCCAAGCTGCAGAGATAAACTGCTCATTGAATAGTCAGCCCCCAACCGTCCCTGACCGGAATTCACAAGTCTCAGATTTTCATATTTTAATTTAATTGTGAACTTTATTTCACCCTTTAAAAAAATCTGATATATAAATATGACATCAGAGACGCTTGTTCTGTAGAGAGTTGCTACCCCTCTGGCAGTGAAGAGATTGAATAAAATGGATATTAAACATTTTAACCAATTAAATCTGGTTATAAATGTAGCTGTGCGCAGACTCTGCACTGTATGGAGGATGCAGTTCAGGGTGAGGTGAATTAACAGCTTCTTTCGTGCTACCCTAACGCTTACACACATTTATCCTTTTATTATGAAACTTCTATCTATCTATCAATTGTTTGTCTCTCCATTCATCCTTCCATCTGTCTGTCTGTCTGTTTATCTATCTATCTACCTACCCACCACCCATCCATGTATCCATCCATCCTTCCATTAGAACCATTGGTCTGTCTGTATATTATCCTGCCTCTTTGTTGAGGTTTTTCTCTCTATCTATCTATCTATCTATCTATCTATCATCTGTCTGCCTGGCCATCCGTCCATCTGTCTATCCATCTATCTATAATCTATCGATCTATCATCTATCAATTGTCTGTCTGTACATCCATCTGTCTATGTATCTATTTATCTATCTTTCCACCCAACATCCATCCATCCATCCGAACCATCTGTCTGTTTCTCTCTCCATCTTCCTGTCTCATTGTTGAAGTTTTTCTATCTATCTATCTATCTATCTATCTATCTAACAACTGTCTGACTGTCCATCCGTCCGTCTGTCAATCTATCTATCTATCTATCTATCTATCTATCTATCTTTCTACATATCCACCCAACATCCCATCCATCCATTTATCCATCCATCCATTAGAACCATTTGTCTGTCTGTTTATCTTCTTGCCTATCTCTCTATGAGTTCCTGTGCTGTTTTAACATGAATAAGGTGGCTTTGAACCCCTAATCGCTAATTATCATTGCGTGTCTGTGGACGGACTGCGAGTCAGAGAGACAGAAGGTTGTTTGAAAGGATCTCGTGTGTTAACATTTAAAAGGCCCTATCTTCGAGCAATTAGAGACTGTGGAGCTGAGAGTGATCGCGAGCGGATGGGTTTTAATGAATGTTTAAAGACCTCCCACAGCAGGAGGGCTTGCTGGTCACCAAAAAGCATGTAATGCACGCACTGACATCCAAATCTGCAAAGCAACCGACCCTTCTCACGCAATGCCAGGAATGAAAGGAGTATATTTAACAGAAAGTGCTCGTTTAACATGTATCAAACCGAAGGGCATCTTCTGAAGACTTTATTTTTACCTTAAGGGCAGGTGACAGACAGAACACAATGACAACTGAAATACCTTAAAAATTATAATTAATTAACATCTAGCATGTCAACATAGTGAGGTCTACATTTTTCAATTCACTTTTCACAACTAGGATTAGTATAGAAACTCTTATAAATTGTACTTTTTTTATTTTTTTAATATCAGCTATAATTGCCACATGAAATTCTATGGAATTTTATATTTAAATGCATTTTTCCCTGTTTTAAATCGGTCTTGGAATGTTTGAACTGCCTGAGTTACATAAAGTATACCAGTCACTAGTATAATAGTCACTGATGTGCTGGAACTGGCCAGAGTATTTGTGGATAACTGCAGATCTAGAAAATACCAATAACACAGATTTATCAAAACCTGAACTCCCACAATTTACTCTAAAGCACACATATTGAGGGAGAAAGGTGGGCTGGAGGATTTATTCAACAAAAGGACTTTGACTTACTTTTAGCTGAGTCTGTTTTAATTCACCATAATTTACTGTTGCAGCAAATAAACCACGTAACGTCGAGGCCCAGTCACAAAGGTTCGAATTATTTCCATGCATGCAGGACACTAAGTTATGGGTTACTTACAGGCTGGTTGAGAGTACGTATGGTTAGGTGAGGATCAGCCTGTAAGTTATGAATGTAAAAAATATATTTGTGACAGTGGCATCCTTCTTCTTACACTGCATTATCTAAATGCCTCCTGTGCCAGGGTCCCTAAAACAGTCACCCAGTCCCTCCTTGTCAGTCATCTACCAGGGAAAAATTGTTAGGCATGCATAGAGGTTGGGGAAATAGCATTTAGCTAAAAAGCTATGTGCCCTATTCTGCATGGAGTTAAACTGACTTCTGCAGCCTTGGCCCCAGATACTCCTGCGACTCATTAGAAGAGACTTGAAGTGGATAAATGAAGACAAGTGATATACTGCATTGCAGAAGGGGATATGAATATTTACCATCTTTTTAGTGCTGCGATGGCTTCCCTGTTCCCCCCACCCACCAACCCGCTAGGAAAGCAAATAAATTGTCTCATGAGCGAGAGATACTCATCACAACTTCAGTGCATGCTCTGTAGTTGCAGTTGAGGAGAACCGGAGAACCATGTGAAGAGGGTTCTCCTACTCAACACCTGTCAATCAACTCTCAGCATGCAGCCTATGCTCTATGTCAACTGCATCATGTTCTGCATTCTGACCATTGAGGGAAGATAAAAACTGTTTGGTGTTTCAAGAAGTTACTGAATGTTTAATGTTTCGACCTTGGAGAGAAGTTAGTAAATTTCAGGTGTTCTAAGGATGTAAAGAAGTTACTGAATGTTTGATGTTTTAACCTTGGAGAGAAGTTAGCAAATGTGGAGAAGTAAGTGAATGGTTGGTGTTCTGATTTTGGAGATAAGTTATTAAACATTTCACATTCTGATCTTGGAGAGATTTTAGTGAATGGTTGGTGTTTGACCTTGCAGAACATCAAGTGAATGTTGACTTTTTTTTACAATGTAGAGACATTAGTGTTCATTAGAAGAATGCTTGGAGTTCTGAACATTTCTTTTCTTTTCAGACAGTCTTCCTGAAGACATAAACTGGAACTGAATATAAATTCTCTGTGTACCTTATCATCCTGCATTCTGAAATGTAAATATTTAGTCTTGAACGTCCTTAGCTGAAAAATAATGTCCCATTCAGGACAAGAGAAAAGATGACCTGATTTAAAATTGTAATTTAACTAACTTCCAAATCTGTGTCTTATCTACAGCCTCTTCTTTTCAGTGCCGATTGCAAAGACGACAATTAAAGTCCTACAGGCTAACGCAGGGAACTTTAACTATGGACCTATGCCGGGCCCGTGCAAAAATTGCCGTCCCCCTATATGTTCTGCCCTCCATGTGACATCACAATGCCCCACTCATATGATCTTCCGATGGGCCAAAGCCAGTTCTGCACACAGTGTCTTTTTTTTCTGAAAAGGGGGAGAGTCTACGTCACCTATAGGATGCGCTGACCCTGGATCTATGGAAGATTAGTGGGTTAAAACTCTCGAAAACTTCTTACAAAAGAGCACATCACAGGTCGGTGGCAAAATATGTATTGGTGAGCAGAGTATTTCCAGTGATAATAAAGTGTCAAACATTACAAACTAACAATGTCTCTATCTGAAGAAAATACAAACCCAGAAATAAATGATCTATTCCAATATTAAATAAAAATATGTGTACTAAGCAGTTAAACTGGACATGGAAACAGCGTAAAAGACCGTAGAATCTTATTTAATTTTTTAAGTGACAAAAATGAAAACAGCGAATATAATTGCACTACCATAAAAAATAATTAATAAAAAGACACAGAAAATGTCAGTTACAGGAATAGCATTTATTATTATAAATTATTAATTAAAATGAGACAACATATAAATAATGGACTTTTTTTGAGCAATTAGGAATGTATTAATGACTTGATATTTCACAAAACCATGATTGCTAAATGTAAAATAATAGTATTAAATGCAGAATAAGCCATAATTTGCTAATGTTTATTTTTTTGCACTGCCTAGTAGAGTTGAGCGAACCCAAACTTTTCGTTTTTTGGACCCCGGACTCGAACGCGGACATATCACTGTATGTTCGAGTTGGAGTTTGGAGTTCTGCGATTTAATGGCGCGTTTTGAAAGGCCACAGGGCAGCCAATCAACAAGCGTTTGACTCATGTGCCCTTAGAAGCCATCACAGCCATGCCTACTAATGGCATGGCTGTGATTGGCCAGTGCAGCAAGTGACCCAGCCTCTATAGAAGCTGGTCACTTAGTATTAGTAAATTATGCCCCTACTTGCTATACCGCAGGTAGGGGCGTGTCTATTAAACAGTGAGCAGCAGGGCCAGACTGGCCCACCGGGATACCGGGAAATTTCCCGGTGGGCCGCGGCACCTGGGGCTGGACTGACAGCCTGGGGCTGGACTTGCTCAGGCTCCTGTAATCCTGGCCGGCCATGTGTGAGCTGTGCGGCCGCACAGGGCCCCATGAGAGCAAACAAACACTATTGTGGTGGGGGCGGAGCTTAGTGCGCGACCGGGGCAGGGGTTAGCGTGCGGCCGGGCTAAATGAGCCGGACAACTGCAGCATGGGAAGCAGGAAGGAGTCCCTGCTTCCCCAACAACCGATCTCCAGGAGCTCCAAGGGATCTCGAGGTAAGAAGCAGGTCAGTGTGTGTGTGTGTGGGACTGTGTGTGTGACTGTCTGCCTGTGTGTTTGTGTGTGTGTGTGACTGTCTGTCTGTGTGTGTGGGGGGGACTGTGTGTGTGACTGTCTGCCTGTGTGTGTGTGTGTGGCTGTCTGCCTGTGTGTGTGACTGGCTGTCTGTGTGTGTGTGTGTGTGTGTGTGTGACTGTGTGTGTGACTGTCTGCCTGTGTGTGTGTGGCTGTCTGCCTGTGTGTGTGTGTGTGTGTGTGGGGGCTGTGTGTGGGGATGTGTGTGTGACTGTATGCCTGTGTGTGTGTGTGTGTGTGCTGTCTGCCTGTGTTTGTGTGTGTGACTATCTGTGTGTGTGTGTGTGTGTGTGTGTGTCACTGTCTGCCTGTGTGTGTGACTTTCTGCCTGTGTGTGGCTGTCTGCCTGTGTGTGTGTGTGAGTGTATGACTGCATGTGTGTGTGTGTGTGTGACTGCTTGTGTGTGTTTGTGTGTGTGTGACTGCTTGTGTGTGTGTGTGTGTGTGAGTATGTGGCTGTCTGCCTGTGTGTGTGACAGTCTGCATGTGTGTGTGTGGTTTTCTGTGTGTGGCTGTATACCTGTCTCTGTGTATGTGGATGTCTGCCTCTGTGTGTGTGGATGTCTTTGTGTGTGTGGGCATCTGTGAGTGAGTGAGCTTCTGTGTCTGTGTGTGTGTGTGTGTGTGTGTGTGCGTGCATCTGCTAGTGAGTGAGCTTCTGTGTGTGTGCATCTGCTAGTGATGTGAGTGAGCTTGTATGTGTGTCAGTGAGCTTGTCTGTAGGGATCATGTGTGTGTGTGTGTGTGTGTTAGTGAGCTTGTATGTAAAGAGCATGGGTGTGTCTGAGCCTGTCTGTGGTGAGCATGTGTGTGCAATGAGCTTGTCTGTAGTAAGCATGTGTGTGATTGTGAGCTTGTCTGTTGTGACCATATGTGGGTCAGTGAGCTTGTCTGTAGTGAATCTGTGCATTAGTGAGCTGTTCTGTAGGGAGCATGTGTGTGTCAATGGGCTTGTCTGTAGGGAGAGTGTTTGCACATCAGTGAGCTTGTCTTTAGTAAGCGTGTGTGTGTGACAGTGAGCTTGTCTGTAGTAAGCGTGTGTGTGTATCAGAGTTTGTCTGTACTAAATTTGTGTGTACCAGTAACCTTGTCTGTGTGTGTCATTGAGATTGTCTGGCAATGAGCCTATTTGTGTGCATCAGTAAGATTGTCTGTGTCTGCATGTGCGTATGCTTTACTGTATAATTTAATTACCCTGAAAAAGAAATATACCAATAATATATATATGTGTGTGTGTGTGTGTATATATATATATATATATATATATATATATATATATAACACACACTACATAGCACAATGACTTATGGGGCTGGCATAGATTTTTTTTCCAGGGCTGCTTCGTATCCCCATTCCAGCCCTGGTGAGCCCTGTGGTTGCTCACAGTTAAAAATAAATAAATTCCCCTCTCCTGAGCCCCCACTTGCGACGCGCGAGTGGGGGCTTTTAAACTAAAGGGGGGACCCAAAATGGGGGCCCAAAATATCAATAAGGGGGGGACCTATTGTATCCCCCCAGCCCCCACCCCTGAGCGGTGGGTGGGGGTCCTAAATAACAATAAGGGGGGGACCTACTGTCCCCATCCCTTAGCGGTGGGTGGGGGCCATAAATAAAAATTGTGGGGGGACCTAATGTCCTCCCCCCGGCCCCTACCCCTGAGTGGTGGGTGGGGGCCAGAAATAAAAGATGGGGGGACCTAATGTCCTCCCCCCTGGCCCCACTCCTGAGCAGTGGGTGGGGGCCATTAATAAAAATTGGGGGGGGGACATAATGTCCTCCCCCGGCCCCCACCCGGCCCCCACTCGCCACGCAGGGATGGGGGCCAGCGGGGAGGACAGTAGGTCCCCCCATTGTTATTTAGGGCCCCCACCCACTGCTCAGGAGTGGGGACCATGGGGGAGGACATTAGGCTGAAAGACCAATTTAGGTGACCAATTTAGGTCTTTCATCCTTTAGTAGATCGCTCCCTAATACTGTGTAAATTAGGGAGTTATCTACTAAGCGGCTGCTTATTTTATGTTATTTTTAAGTTATTTCCCTATCCACATTTGTTTGTAGGGCATTTGTCCTACTCTTACCCCTATTTTACTTCCTTTTCCAGCCCTCTAGCCCTTTCCAGGAGTTTTTTAGAGCCATTTTTGTGGCCAAAAGTTTGGGTCCCCATTGACTTCAATGGGGTTGGGGTTCAGTTTCGAGGTCAAGTTCGGGGTCAAGTTCGAGCCCGAACCCGGACTTTTTTTCAAAGTTCGGCCGAACCCGCCCAACCCGAACATCCAGGTGTCCGCTTAACTCTACTGCCTATTCTAAAATAATGGTCTTGATGGCTGTGGATTGAATGATATCTCCCAGAGATAAAATATTGTACTGTGTGGAGCACCTTCCAGAGCCTGTATCCGTAAAAAAAATAAAAAAAAATACATTGATGGAAATATAAGAAAAATAGTATAATACAGAACAAGAACATTAAATATAATGTGGTTCTAAGAGTGTGTGAGGACAGACAGAAAGACATTGAATGGGCATTGTTTGCTAATAACATAAAAGGTCTGAGATAAGGGTTCTAGAGTAGAAAATCTCAGCATGTTACAGCCTCTACATTTACAAAGCAAAGTATTAAAACATTCCGAGTAGTAGATAAACAAAATAAAACATTATCTGTGCCTTGTCATTCAATTTGATTTTCAAGCTGAATATTTGGATTTGTGCGCCTCCTCTCCGAGCTGCCACTTTAATTTGCTTTTATTATTTGTGATGTCATTTATAAATTATAATTATCTGCTGCACACTCCTCTTGGGACAACAAGGAGCCGTGATCGAGTTCACCTGTTTTGCATGTATATGAGTCACATCCCTTGGAATGATTATTCAATTGGTATCTGAGATTATTAAAGGTATGCACACACATAATCTGGCAAACCCAGTTCATCCCAATGGGCACACAGCACAGCCTCAGCAAATAGAAAATACTGATTTTTTTCAGTGAAATAAACATTTTGTTGTAACAATAGCAAGTCAGAAAAACAAAACAACACGCTCTGTTAGAATAATCTTATCAGGATAAACTAGACTCCTGCCTTCCAGTTACACAGACTCTTAATAAAATTTGCTTTAGAATTTGCAAACTTTTAATTCATGGCCATTGAGTTAGTTTAACCATTACTGAAGCTGATTCTGTGCAACATATCAAATGATCACAATGATAAAAGGGAATTTGTTACTAAGTTACAGCATTGAATAAAACATAGAATGTCAGCAATAACTGTGTTAACTGTTTTTTCATGCGACGCTCCGTCTACAATTGGCATCAAAAACCATTTCAGTCCTGGCACAATCAGGGCACATATTGCACTAAAGGAGAATATGTTTCAGTTTATCCACCTCCATTATTTATTGTTATTTTCCGCTAGATCCCAATTAGATAAAATGTCTACCAGTTAGTACATTCTGTCAATTAACAGAATAGAAAATTATATATTTCCCAAACTGCCTTTCTCAGTAACACGACTTCTTTCTCGGTTACCCTGTGCCTCACTCTCGCCACCTGGTGGTGTCAAAGAGAAACAGTAAGGCTGACCCGAGTATTGCTCAGGACTCCCAAGCAATCCACTCTGTGAATGTTTACTTCATAAAATAACCAGATTCCTTGTTTAATAACTAGATTGTGAAACAACCTGCAAGTTTAGTGACATCAGAATTGAAGAACAGCTGTTTGTACATCTGTCGGCGACGGAGTGGAGGTTAATTCTCATCCATTTAGTGCCTGAAACAGGTTTGTAATTTGCAGCATGTGTGCGAAACGGCTGTAGGAAATGAGAATAATATTCATTGTCAATGAAATGCCTGAAGGAATCCATCATTAGAAATGTAATTGCCTTATTTAACCTTACGCAGCCTTAAGTAATTTTGTTTTCTGTGTTATATGGATGGCAGTTTGCACAAATGATGTTTTTGAATTTGTTTGTCTTTATGTGATACAATTTTAAATGTACGCTCTCTCCGTGCTCATCAGAAAATGCTAATGTCTTTATCTTTTGGAATAAGGTGCGGAAGTTGTAAATAGAAAACCCTGTCAAAAGTTTTTAAAAGAATTTTGAATATTGAAAATAATGATAACCTTAATAATATTTCTATGGTATTATTAGCATTTGTGAAAATTGTCCGGTGACATATTTTAGTTGGTTAAAGAAACAGTGGGATCTGTTCAAACCTCATAGCTGCGTGATCTGTGCTCGGCATGCTTTCTTAATTATTATTTATTGGGAATACCTTTATTGATAGAATTGATTAAATAGAAGGCACAACCACATTAAGATTTAGGTCTTTGTGTACAATGTAAAAATAATTTCAGGAAGTATTACTTTACTGAGAGGGTAGTGGATGCATGGAATAGCCTTCCAGCTGAAGTGGTAGAGGTTAACACAGTAAAGGAGTTTAAGCATGCGTGGGATAGGCATAAGGCTATCCTAACTATAAGATAAGGCCAGGGACTAATGAAAGTATTTAGAAAATCGGGCAGACTAGAAGGGCCGAATGGTTCTTATCTGCCGTCACATTCTATGTTTCTATGTTTCACTTTCTCTCAACTTTCGCTTGTAGAAATACTTTATGTGTATAAATTATTTTCCAAAAACATAAATCATTTATGAAGCTTATCCAAAGATATTAAATTGGGGCCCTGTATCGTGTTTGTGTGTCATCCTTGCCTCTGTCCATTGGTTTGTCAATGTGTCTAACCATGCAGGAAAAAAGTATTACACAAGTCCTTTATCACCTCACCTTGAGTGTAGCAAAATGGTCCCTGCCTGGACCTATAGATAAGTAATGTGACGCAGACACGTAATTGAATGTGGACCATGGAAACTGTAATAGTTTGTCCATGAATTAATTCCTGGTCTCTCTGTCTGGCCATTCATTTAGTCGGTACTCATCTGTTTGCTCTAATTGTGAATGATATGATAATATGTATATTTCTTTATTTTCTGTAATTTTTAAAGTTTGATGTCACATTTCTGTGAGCTGGTTTGTTGTATAAAAGATATGAAATGTTCGGGTGCTGTTTTATTATTTTAGGGAGTTTCTTTGTCTTTTCTTCTAAGATGAAGGAACGACTACATCAAATAGAAAATACACCTCTAAAGAGTTTGTGTTGTGTGTCTCCAGAGCGCTTCCTCCTGTGTATTCCGATTTGATTTTTATTCTCTCACATTGTCAGGGCCAAAGTCCAAGCCCTTTACTCTGAATCTGTGTCTTCGGGGAATGGAGCAATCAATTCTTTCCTTCACATCTGCTGGGATAGGAGGTGATTCCCCGGAGTCTGGAGCTCACTGGCTTTTGCCACAATTGCCTTTCAATCTGATTGTAATCAATGTTCTGGGTGGAGCTCGGAGTGGGGGCTTGAGCTGACTCTATTACACCCTGTGTTGTCTTACTTGATTTTGTCACATAATAAACCAGAAATGTTAATGCGTGATGAAGTAAGCTGTGTGCCGAGTGCTCTTAACCCTCCTTGTTTATAGAGCACCAATATGTAAACAACCCTGTACAACATGAAATAAAGTGTTTAGTTTTATAATAAATTACTACAAAGAAGAAGAGTATTCACTATATGCTCTGAGACACACAGAAATCCTAAGGTTAAAGTGTTCCCTTAAGACACTCAGAAATTGCAAAGGATGCTGAGAAAAAAAAAAAGGAGAAGAGTATGTGTATAAATCACCACAAGTGGTAGCAAAATAGTACAACCTGTACAGTAATCGGGGGAATCTGAAATAAACACTGTATGTCTAGGAGAAGAAAAGAAAAATATAGTGCAATACAATAAGCACAAATGGTAGAAAACTCACTAGAAAGTAGCACATTCCGGCATGTCTCCCTCAATAATGGGGTAATAGCACGGATAGGAGGAATCATCCCAAACACTGCAATCTTGGTATAGATGTATCTACTTAGAAAGCTCAAAATAGAAAGAAAACGGGGTATAGTGCAGATTGTATAAAAGTAACAAATGTATTATTACAAGTTGCACTTACAAATTGGCAGATGAAAAACAGCATATCTCCATAACAATGCGGTATCCGGGTATCCAATGGGCAGCAGGAAAAATCCCAGGACCACAAGTACAGGGTAAAAACAGATACAAGTAAAAACATTTAATATCAGAAAATACATGTTTATTTGCTGATAATAAAGGTTTCTATTTTTATCTGACATGGACAACTTTTTCCAATGTAGCAAACCTGGATATTGAATGTGGCTGCCATAGATATACCTGTGATAGTGTCCCTGATTTAGGCTTTCATGTCCTGCCATCTATATAGACCTACTTAATACCTCCCTTACAGCCCTACCCTATTACGCACTAGTAAGAACGTAGGCCACATGTATAGGGGACAGACTATCTGCCATTATCACTTATAAATACAGGGCCAGTGCTATCTTAAGGAGGCACGTGTGGCCACCATTGGGAGCCCCAGCCCCCCTAGGGGGGCACAATGTCCAGATCACCTGCAGGAGTGGAATACACAGAGTTCCCTTCTCCTTCCAGTCTCTCTGTAGCCTGGCCTCGTAGATGGCAGTAGATGACCTTCTTATCCATACCTGATCTGACAGGCAGTGAGCAGCTTCCAGGCAGACCAAGTAGAGGATAAAGCAGTGGTCTGTATGGTTCTAAGAAATTGGAGGAGTTGTAAAAGACATTTGGGGGTTTTAAGAGGCATTACAGAGATGTAAGAGACACACAAAGGGGCACAAGGTGGGATAAAATATAATAAAGAGGAATAAGAAACACAAGAAGGAGTAAGATGCCACAAAAGGGGAATACAATACACAAAAAATGAAAAGATACACAAAATGATTGGTAATAGAGGCTGAAGGGGGGTTAGGAAACAAACAGACAGATAGATTTAGGGGTGGGGGGGCAGCAAAATGCATCACTGCTTGTGTAGCCAAAAAATCTGTGCACTGCCTGATGAGGTTATGTATACGAACATGTTAAAGAGCAAACAAACAAAATATTTGATTCAGAGCTTTTCATGATAATTTTTCCAAATACAGGTCATGATGGTAATCTGTGATGTGAACCTTGTGTCTTTCTAACACATTCTAAAATACCAGGGGTTCTTCAAATGAAAAAGCTATTTATTTGTAAGATGTCTGACTGAATGCAAATCAGCCTTACCTGATTGCTAAAATTATACACTTTTACAATGTTTTAGTTTTTTTCAAAATATTAAAATTCCCAAAAATATATCATATTGAAAAAAAAACATAGCAATATATCGACACATAACAAATATTACAAATATCAAAATATTTAAATATTAAAAAAAAATTAAATTATATTTTAAAAGTCTATCCAAAAACATTAAATCACTATAAAAGCTTAATCAAACATATTAAAACCCGACCTATATCCTGATATTTTTAGGGCTCCTGGAAGAACGTTTGGAAGTAGGAACTTTGGGAGCCATTTATGGTCTCCGTAGGCAGCATTCCTTGGGGATGTATGCTTCAATACGTAAAAAGAATTTTATACACTCCGTATTGCCTCCTCTACAGACCACACATTACGTACCATGGTTCCATTTTTCCGACAACCTAAGAGGGCTTGGTAAAGTTATACTCACTGTTACTATATAGGATACATTAAAAAAGGGTTTGGATACATGAAGGCTGTATCTATATCACACAGTATTGTTCTAGGAGACCTGTGTGTGCTACGATTTGCCATTCATCCTTAGCCATCAGTGCTAAACGTGTTTCAAATTAACCACGCCAAGAGCTGCTATCAGACTCTCTGTTAAAGAACCTTTTCTGGGGCTTTGCAATGACATTTGACTAGTTCCTTACTTGCCTTTGGCTAATAAAGGAAGCTATTTCCACTTCAGCAACACACAGAAAACCTAGTTGAAAAGAACATCTCAGGTTTTTAAAGGATAAAAGAACATTTATACCTTTTAATATCCAACAATCAGGTTTTCTAATGGAAAGTAAAAAAAAAAAATACTGTCCTGTCTGCATCTGTCTCATTTTCAGATACTTTAATGAAAAGCTGGCCTAGTCGGTAAAGGGCTGTTTAGCATTTCAATACATTTAATATCCTTGCAGATAAGGGCGCGAGGGATATTACCA